TTTATCTGAGTTTCGCCGGTTAAAGTTTTTAACCCTTAAAAGCTATTTTTATGCATTAAAAAGATATAGCGGACATCGGGTTTCTGCAAAAATCTACGCAACTCTTCAATAAATCCGATTTTCAGTGGGAGATGGGCAAATACAACTGGCGTTCGTACAACCAGGTCAACCAGCGAGTCAACTTGGTGGCTAGGTAAGCTATCCATTCGTAGCGGTGTATTCAAAATCTAGTGCCCTGAAGAAAATGGGGCTCAAACCCAAGGACCCGGTGGTGATCTTTGCCGAGACCCGCGAGGAATGGATGACCACCGCCCTGGCCTGCTTCAAGATGAACTTCCCGGGTTAGTTCTGGCGCCATCTTTTTCAAACTTAATTAAGCCGTTTCTTTCAAGCAAGCTCAAAACTGAATTAAGCTGGTACTAAAGTTCAATAAACTTAATTTAGTCGCGACCGTCTACGCTACCCTCGGCGAAGACGCCGTCTGCTACGCTCTGAACCAAGTTCAAGCCAAGACGATTTTCACCACCGAGTCACTGTTGCCAATTGTATGTCTCTTGATAAAAGAGGCATAAAGCAATCCTTAAATTGCCGTTGAAGCCCAAGTTAGGAAGTGTATAACATCGCTCTAGGTCACGAAGGCCATAAAAGATGGCGCCGAGCTGAAGAACATCGTCTACTACGAATCCAACGACCCCAACGAGAAAAACGGCAAGAAGAAGAATGGCGATGCTGAGGTGTGTTTTAGCATCCTTATGCGACCTTGCCCACATTGACCCCGGCTAATGCGCTCTTTTTCTAGAAAAGTCGAAACACCACACTTTTTAGGTCATCTCCTTCTCGGACCTCTTGAACAAGGGCGACAACAACTTTACTCCGGGTTTGGAAAAGTTAAATTTCCTGATTCTAATCCGTTCTAGGAAAAGAAAATAAGCCTACCCTCGACGATGTTGCCATGATTATGTACACTTCCGGAACCACGGGAAATCCGAAGGGAGTTATGCTGGCTCACCGGAATATTGTCGCCGCTACAGCCGGACAGGGCTTTGACATTGATGTCGAGTAAGTTAAAACATTAGCATCGGCCTATAAATATGCTCAAAATCCTTAAAATATCCCTTACGCGCCATTTTTTTAGTCCGAAAGACACCTACATCGGTTATTTGCCCCTAGCGCACATCCTGGAAGTTTGCGCCGAATGTGTATGCATTATCAAAGTATGGAAACTCACGCTTTAACGAATCTACTATTTCTTAAGGGAACCAAAATCGGATATTCATCCGCACAAACACTCTTCGATCGCGCCCCCAAGATTCCGAAAGGCCACAAGGGAGATACCTCCGAGCTGAAGCCGACTTTGATGGCGTGCGTACCGGTAAGTAGTGTTGAAAAAAGAAAGACTTCGATGCCGTATAGGCGATCGAAAAGGCCGACTTATCTAAAAATCACCTTTTATGTTTAGGCCGTGATGGACCGCATCTACAAGGCTGTCGTTGATGATGTTAATTCCCGATCCCCGCTATTCAGGGTAAGTATCTAAGGAGTCTTAACAGATCTTAAGATTTTTACATAGTTGATCTTAAATGCAATTGAAAAATGATGTTTATAATTCTAATGAATCTCGAAAAATCCACAAAAACGGGTTTTCAGGAAGTCTTCAAGTGCATGTACGAGCGCAAAAGGTCACGCTACGAGGAAGGCTACAAGACACTACTCCTGAACAAGTTCGGCATACCCTTAAATCATAAATTTGTCGTTTCAGGTTGGTCTTCAACAAAATCGGCAAGATCCTGGGCGGCGAGCTGCGATGCGTGTTGTCTGGTGGAGCCCCGTTGTCTCCGGAAACTCAAAGGTAAGTCGTGCTCAAAAACGCATATTGATGCTGTTTCAGATTCATGAACATTTGCTTCTGCTGCCCGGTCATTCAGGGATACGGTTTGACAGAGACTTGCGGAGGAGCGACGATTGCTGATTGTAAGTTGAGCAAAGCTTAGGCTTAGGGTTAAGCTTAGGCTTAGGCTTAGGCTTAGGCTTAGGCTTAGGCTTAGGCTTAGGCTTAGGCTTAGGCTTAGGCTTAGACTTAGGCTTAGGCTTAGGCTTAGGCTTAGGCTTAGACTTAGGCTTAGGCTTAGGCTTAGGCTTAGGCTTAGGCTTAGGCTTTGCTTAGGCTTAGGCTTAGGCTTAGGCTTAGGCTTAGGCTTAGGCTTAGGCTTAGGCTTAGGCTTAGGCTTCGGAGTCTTAGAGCCTTCAGGTCGGCGAATGTTATGAATCATTCTAGTGCACGACCTCTCCACCGGAACCGTCGGCCCACCCCTCCGTTGCGCCCAAATCATCCTCGAAGCCTGGGAAGAAGCCGGATACTCGCCCGACAACGAGACCCCACAGGGAGAAGTAATACCAGTTTTAATCGTACCTTTCAATCAATAACTGACAGGTTCTAATCGGTGGAGACCACGTTGCACTCGGCTACTACAAAGACGAGAAAAAGACGAAGGAAGAATTCTCGGAAAGGAATGGTGTCCGATATTTCGCGACTGGAGACATTGGAGAGTTCCGTGCTGACGGATCCTTGAAGATTATTGGTATGGAAATGTTCCCGAATTTTTAACGAGCTGATTTCTAGATCGTAAAAAGGATCTGCTCAAGCTGTCCCATGGAGAGTATATCTCGCTGGGAAAGGTCGAGACGAATCTGTTGACGAATCCGTTGATCGAGAACATCTGCGTCTATGGAGATTCGAACAAATCTTATGTGATTGCGTTGGTTGTGCCGAATCAGAAGAATCTGTCTGCATTGGCGGAGAAGGTGAGGAAGAGAGAGAGAGAGAGAGAGAGAGAGAGGAGAGAGAGAGAGAGAGAGAGAGAGAGAGAGAGAGAGAGAGAGCCAGGGCGCGACTGCCCTGCCGAATTCTTCATAATCAACCAGGAAATTTCAGAATGGCGTAGACATCGGTAACTGGGAAAAGGTCTGCGCCAACCCCAAGATCGTCAAAGCCGTACTCGATGAGCTGACCGGATACGTCAAAGGTTTGCCTCCGCTGTCAGGTGCCTAAAAAATTATTTAGGAAAGCTGGAGCGCGCCGAGATTCCGCAGAAAATCCACCTCTGCCACGAGCCCTGGACGCCGGCTTCCGGTCTCCTGACGGAAGCGCTCAAGCTGAAGCGGAAGAACATCGAGAAGGAGTTCAAGGAAGAGATCGAGCGGTTGTACAAGTGAGTTTCAGATTTAGCGTTTTTCAGAATATATAGAAAATCGCATTTTTTACAGATTCCGGAATTTACACATTCATTGACATTATCAAGGTCAATTTTTTAGGCGAAAAAAGCTATTTTCAAGCGAAAATAACAGACGAAATCAAAAATACAACTAATTTTTTCAGATAAATCTCACCAAGCCCCACCTACCATATGCAATCAATGTTTCACCCCCAGATGAACGATTCAACAGCATCTCATCACACCTGTTACATATTATCTTATTCTTCACCTCCCACTTTCCCTCCCCTTTTTTGCTACTTCCTAAATCTTGCTCCACCAGAAGGGTACCCATCATCTGTGTCTCCCCGCACATTAGCGAATTTACCATGTTTCGGGCTAACCTCTAGCATTTTTGTGTATTTCTATCGTTCTCAAGGCCATTTATCGCTGCCCCCTTGTACATTTGCTCTCCTGGAAGGCTCCACTTTTTAGAATGTGCCTTAACGTCCCCCGTTTATTAATGCCGACACGGTGCCTTTTCGATATTCTGCTGCGATTTTTGTGAGATTTTATTGCTCAAACGAGAACGCGTTGCCCTCGGATTCTACCTGTCATTTCTTGGAACTAGCCACTACGAGACGTTACGTTGTTATGACGATAAATTTATTGGAAAGTTGTTGTCCCTGAAAATGCCTGAAATGGTCATTTAAAAGCTGGTTCGGAAGCGGGATTCGGCAGCGGTGGTGGATTCAGCAGGGGAGGCTGAAAAATAAGTGTGGATTAGCATTATATGTGGGCTTACAAGGGAACCTCACGGAGACATGGTGGAATTTCGGAAAACGCTCGCGGCTACCCCCGGGTAATCGACCATTGCGATCACGATGCGCTTGTCAGATTTTTCTAAATAGACCTGTGGACAGAGATACAGCACTTCCGGAAAATGCTGATTTACATGCAAAAAATTTGCATGGAAGTATGGTTTATGAGGCTCTTCCATCACTATGGAATCACCAGTTGAATGGCCGAGTGGTAAGCGACTCGCTTGACCGGATTCTAACGTGGGTTCGAATCCGCTCACGATTTTTTGTTTTTGCTTTTTGCCAGACATTTTTGTACAAGTCCAAAATCATACGTGCCAAAGTACTTCTAAATTTTATGACAGTTGCCGACGTTACGTGGTCAGAAAATTATTCTTGTAAACATTCTCATTTTTTGCAGATGGTCAGGTGTAGGAACTCTAGCCGGCAGAACTGATTTTCATTTTTTGATTTTTTTTCGCTTTTAATGGCTAAACATTAGGGATTTCGCGCTATTACTAGTAACATTCTGGACTTGTACAAAAATGTCTGGCAAAAAGCAAAAACAAAAAATCGTGAGCGGATTCAAACCCTCGTTAGAATCCTGTCAAGCGAGTCGCTTACCACTCGGCCATTCAACTGGTGATTCCATAGTGATGGAAGAGCCTCATAAACCATACTTCCATGCAAATTTTTTGCATGTAAATCAGCATTTTCCGGAAGTGCTGTATCTCTGTCCACAGGTCTATTTAGAAAAATCTGACAAGCGCATCGTGATCGCAATGGTCGATTACCCGGGGGTAGCCGCGAGCGTTTTCCGAAATTCCACCATGTCTCCGTGAGGTTCCCTTGTTAGTATAGGCTTAAGCTTTTCGTTGTGTCACCAAACCTACGTTTAAAAATAGAATGCATAACTTTTAAAACTTACCAAATTTATCACGTACGCACTCCCCGAACGCCGCCCGAAAACCTCGATAACATACACATACGTCACGCTGACAAGTCGTCAAAGCTCGACATAACTGAATTTTCAAAATTATCTTTTCGCGGTTTATAGGTAAAAATTCTATACTTTTTTAACCTACCCCGCCAATCCCACACTTTCCACCCGCCAGTCCGATGTTGGGACGTCCTAAGATACTATTTTCTAACCAAAATCGACTTGCCATTGTGAGAATTGTAGATGGGCTTGAAAGGCTTGGGAGTAGAAGCCTTGGCTTTGGCTTTGTAAGCATCAGCGACCCGAGTTTCCAAGGTGAAAAGGTTTGCTTTTGAGGTTGTAGTGGGTGTCAAGGCATTTCGATCGGCTAACTCCAGGACAATCTTAAGGTATGCTCGGATTTCTATAGAATTTGGGTACCGGTTCAACGCATAGATCTTGGAGCTTTTTCATGCCTTCGACACAGAGACAGTAGCCTTCTAAAAACAAATAATCAAATAGATTTTTAAAAAATTCTGGAACTTACGGCTGTAGAAACTGCGATACTTTAAATGCTTCATTCATGTGAAAAATTTAAGTTTCATACACTTACCAATACAAACCGAATCACCCTCGCAGTGAATCACACTAGAGCAGGATTGCCCTGGTCGGGCTAAAAAATGGAGCTCGACTCAAATAAAGAGATTTTACCAGCTTCTGTCACTGCGAAATACACCTCAAAGCAGGCCAATAAAACCAGTAACCGCATCTTTCAGACAGATAGAACGCGAAAAACGGATTTCTGATTGGAGCGTGCAAGCCCTCGGGCGCTGCTTGACAGGTTTGGGTAGCGTCCCGGGTCCGGTGTGCAAATAGGGCATAGTTTTCACGTCGGTGATTGATACTTTGGAGCTGAGGATTGGGCCTGAAAAATTGGGAGAAATAGATTAAATCGATAAAACTAGACACATTAAAAAATTGGTTGCTGTGTGAAGATGCCCAACCTTTGAATTCCATTATACTGCCGCTGATTTTTTTTTCTGCTAACTCCCAGACTAAACATATTATCCTCACGTCACGTATAGTATCATGGGGAACCAGGAAATGCCTAGAGAACAATGCGATTCTCTGCCTCCGATCCTCAAAAGTTCAAGGATATTTTCGATCAACCGCGGGAGATCCCCAAAATGCCCGTCCAAGGTCAGCTGGTTGTTATTGGCATTGATTCGAGGATTTCTCAACAATGGGTTGTCACTTTTTTCTTGTTTTCCCGTATTAAACGCTATTTATTTTCTGACACACTCTGGACTTATATTTTGCTGATACTCAATAATTAATAATTTTTAGTTAGTTGTATATGTGGCTCTGCAAGCCCTTGACAATCCCAAAAATGCCGGTGTTAGAGGAGCACTATACGAGTTGCTATGGGAAAGTTAGAGCTCGAGTAGGGACGCAATTTTTTACATTATATATTTTCTTTTTTTCAGTTTGGGATCACATTAATGCTGACCCTTGAAACGGCCTGGATCCTCGGATGGGCTATATTTGCATTAATCCATGACACCTCTGATTTTTTGATTATGGTAAGCACAATATAGAGATTATTTATGAATGTTTTAGCTACCTGTATTCCTTTTGATGCTATTAGCTCGAGCACCCGCTTTTCTAGGTCTGCTGACCTATAAACCGGTCTTCATGCAAATATACTTGATTTCATATGTAAGGTGCATCCCTCGAGGAATATATTAAGCTTTAGGTATTGGAGCTGTTGATTATCGTTATCATCGCTATTTTGATAAATGCCGTATCTTCATGGAAGTACCAAAAGCACTGTAGTCTGTAGTTTATGTATCTTAAGGGAATACTTCCGGAAGCAGCACGGCCGGTTTGACGTTCTTGCCATGGTGGCAGGTAGAATTTTCGAGGTTACTTGGCTATTCCTACCTTTTTTGTAGTTTTTATTGCTTATTTCACCCTCTGGGGAGTCGCGGCGAAATGGCAGTTCTATCGATACGTCAGGTGAAAAATGGTTACCCATCCTCCATCCTCCATATCTTTTTCAGAGATCTTCAACTAGAGAAGGAACAGCAAGAAAACCCTGCCATCATCAGACACGAGAATCCCAAAAGATTTTGATAAATTTTGTGCACTAATGGTTAATTTTACTGATCATTGGAACAAAACTCCGATTTGTGCATTTTACGGATAGATCGTATTTTTTTATCTAGTGCTTAGAAGCTTTAAAAGTCAACAAGCCTCAATAAATATTTATTTTTCGCACACTTCTGATCACAATACACCCGTAATGAGATCACGCACAAATTCCCCCTTCAAAGTTTGCATACATTTTCGATAGATTGACTGTTTCCGGTATTTGTGAATTTCGAAGGAAGGGGCGTGAGGCTGGTGGAGGATGAAGCCGGAGGGGTGGACGTTAAATTTGAATCTGAATATTTGAATTAAAAGGTATTTCAAATTACCCCAGTCGGTTTAACTGCATCGCGTGAGCCACTTTGTTCCAGCCGAAGCCGACAAAGCGACGGTCGTAAAGCGGGCAGTCCGATTTTCGAATCATGAAGTATGGTTCGTAGTCTTGCGCCCAGGATGTCTAAAGAATGTTAATTAGGCTTATGCGTAAGCTTAGGCTAGGTTTAGGCTAGTGAGATGCTAGTCCTATGCTTAGGCTCAGGTGAGAGTTAGGAGCCCCTTGCATACCGCGTACTGCGCTCCACTCTCCCTCCATCTACTGTAATTTGTAGGGGCGTGCCCCTGCGGCCACACGTCAGATCGAAACCGCTGAACCTAAAGCATCTCCGGTTTATCCTACGTTTCGGGTTCGCATACATTGCCTAAATCCCATTCCTTCAGCAACTCTTCCTTATCCAAAAGCTCGCTAGTGCCAGTTCGATTCATCTCGAATGCTGGCACAACCAGAACGGAATTTGCAGCAAATTCGTCGGTTGATGACAGCAACGCTCCCTCGAGGCCTGAAGCTCGAAAATTAATTAATGGCAGCAGGGATGATAAAGGTTAGATTTTGATTTTTAAAATAGTTCAAAATACAAATTGATTACGGTAGCGATGCAAGAGGAAAGAGGGCTATGGATAGAGCAGGGAGAGGGAGAGTGAGAGCGTGAGCGAAAGAGAGAGAGAGAGAGAGAGAGAGAGAGAGCGCGAGAGCGAGAGAAACAGAGCGAGAGAGTAAGATCAAATGAGCGAGGCTGAGCTGAATCACGTGGTTGACTTGCAAAGCTACCGTATGAAAATAGACAGTTCAGCATCAGCTTTTGATTTTGAAACTTGATCCCGATGTTCCAGAATAATTTGATTATGCTCAGATCCCGCTTTGTCATATTTCTGCATAACGAATTCAGAAAAAAGGTATCTCCCCAGAGGCGCACAAAAATCAGCCTCAAGCTCCCTACATCAAGCCCTTAGGGCCAAGTGAGTCAGCTCGCTTGCTCAAATCACAAGATCCCAATCCGTGCCAGGATTTCATAAACGCCCCCCCACCTCGAGACGGCAAGAAGTCGACGTCGAGCAGAAAGATAAACTCGCTGCGGGTGGCGTTAATCGCCACGTTTCGTAGGTAATTGATAGGGTAGAACGGCTGAAAATGAACAGCGATTGACGGTTTTTACTTGAGCTTTTTCAAGGCGTTCGGCTTTGGTTAGTCAACGAATTTGAGGACATGCCACTTTTGATCAAATCTGCTTAACAAGCTGCGGCTTTTCCTTGTTAAATGCCACGTAGTCCTAGATTTTCTGTAGTTTAAAAATTGTACATTCATGCAAATTAATAATCAAGGCCTAGTGCAAGCGATTTTTGATCGAAGACTCCAAACTACAGTTACAGCGTACCCCTTTTTTAAACACGCCATGTAAACCGATATTTTTCCTCGTTTTCCCCAGCTTCGAACTCTTCCAAAATTCCATTAATTGAAACAGTTCCGCATCACTACCATAAACGGCCGCCGATATCGGACCCTAAATTATGGGCGGTATGCAAAATACGCAACCAATTTACCTGCCAGCTCTCCGCCAACCTTTCGAAAAATTGAAATCGCTCCATACTAAATTGTGTCACCAACGTGGTTTTAGATTCATTCTAAAACGAATAATTTCCCAAAATCGAATTAAATAGATTTGTTTACCGAGTTTTCGACGACTACTGGGGCCAAAAACCGTTGGCACCGATACACAATTTTGCGAGCGGCCCGGAATTCCCCACAGACCTCGTCTTCGTCGTAGTCGGGGCTGTTTATCGCCGGCTCCTTCTAGAGGGGATACGGTAATTGAGCTTTTTACCTTTTTCGCTCCGCAATTGCGTAATCGCTGGAAAGCCAACTGATCACCGTCCATGCTCGCAAAAAGCTCAAAATGACGGCGAAAGAATTGAGCATATCGATTCTGGGTTCGCATTTTGTACGGAGAGTTCCAGTGGACGATCTGAAAAGGAAAACCCTTAATTTTGTCCGCAGTTTGATCTTTACTATATATTGCTCTGATTTTACATGTAACTTTGGACTTTCGATTCTTTAAGCGAATTTAGGTTTAATATGGAACTTTTCACACGTATCATCGCCAAATCTAAAGACATCTTCTACAAGCTGTGAGTTGTGAAGGCTTCTTCAAGTCAAAAATCTTTTTTTTTCAGTGGAGCAGGAGATTCGATAATGGTGAAACCATTCGGAATGCAGCGTACAAAAAGCGCAGTTTCCGGAAATGCGAGTATAATATCTGGTGGAAGTACGATATTTGGGTTAGGCGTGAGGGCAAGAGCGAGGGTACGTTAAGCCTGATGCAAAAAAAAAAAATTAGAGAAATTTAGATCTGGGACAGCTGCAAAACGGGTATCGTCGCTTTTCCACCAATTGCCGCTGTTATATTTTTGTCAGTAATGTTGATGAATCAGGTATATCTGAATGTTTTCATCGATATACATCATTACTGTAAAGTAGCTACGGTATACAGTACACCGAAATCTAGGCAAGCACCGCCCTGTCGACCACCAACAACCTGAACACCTATCTGACGTTGGCCATTCAGCTGAACCAGCTAGCGTCTGTGCTCCAGAAAGAGCGTGGCATTTCCTGTGCATATATGACAAGAGTGGATGATGTCAAAATTAATAAGTATGTACTTTAAATGTTTATAATTCGAATAATCGACTGGTTATACAAATTTCCTCTTTTTCTAGCTTGGAGCGGCAAATCGTTGGGAAACAACTTATCTCTTATCAGAATCTGACCGATTTAACGCTCGAATCTATTGGGGATGAGCCCTGGGCGGTATAATTGAGCTCTACAAGGAAACCAATCTAAGAGAATCTCTAGGAAGTGATCAGCAACAATTCGGCCCTGGCGAATGCTTCGACATTAAGAACGGCTCTCCAGGATTTCCGGGATTCGATGGTTAATGCGACCGGGATCGATGCGATCACGTAAGTTTTGAGAAACCTAATTTTAATATCCCAGCATTCAGATTCTGTTTCAGTTTCTACACGCCCCTGATCGAGGCGCTGATCTACAACTCGGGCCGTGTATTCTTTGAGACGAAGGAGGGAAGGTTTTGGGGTGCTTTTAATGCGTTGAGGCTGATACAGTATGCCGGGGAGGCATTCGGTAAGCTATGACACAAAGATTAAGCTCCTTCTTGCTTGGCCTTTCAAAGAACAAGCAACCGCATCTGTATAGCTCTTGATATTTGACGCTTTCTAGGCACCAAACGAGCTTTTGGTGGGACTTTCATAGCTCAAGGCTCCCTTTCCGAAGAGCACCTACTGACGTATATCCGTAAGCTTCCGGGACGATTCGGTTAAGACCTATTTCTTGTAGAAAATAGCTGCAAAAATATATTCAGTTGTGATCGATGAGATGAACGAAAAAATTCTGAAGTAAATTTAGACATTATAAAAATAATATTTTTCAGAAACGAAAGTTTCGGGTCGGACTTGGATCGGGCCCGGTTTGCCATCTACTGGTTTAATAATATCACGCTGTTTATGGATAGGGTTGTTAATCCGGTGTGTTATTTTACAAAAAAAACTACAAAGACATTTAAAAATACTGGATTAACCATCAAAATGTCGTGTACAGTGAAACAAATCGATACCAAGCTATAATTTTGTACATTTCCAGGCACGCGAGTTCTTAAACCAGAAAATGTCGTTAAAGCTGAATGGCCAAAGTTCCGATTCATACACCGTACTCTGGACAACAATTTCCACAATACTGGCCAGTCTTTTAATTTGTGCCCCGATCATCGCATATTTGTCGGTGCAAACCAATAGGATGCACAAAAAGATACGGTATGTGTACGCAAAATATCAAAGTTAAAAAATTCTAGCGAAAAAATGCAAGAACTACAAATGGAAAAGACTCGAAGCGAGCTGTTGCTCTATCCGATGCTGCCGAAATCCATAGCAAAAAGTTTGAAGCTGGGACATTTGGTATGGACCGATTTTTGAGGAGCTTTAGCTGTTTTAGGTTTTGCCCAAAACTTACAACGAAGCTACGGTCTATTTTTCCGATATCAAAGGGTTTACGATCATCTCTTCTACTTCTACACCTCTAGAGGTAAATATTTTACCGAATGTTGGGAACTTTTAAACTATTTCTTAAATCAACAGTGTTTGTAAGATTGTGCAACTCCTAAACGACCTTTACATCACTATGGACAACGTGTTGGACGGGTATAATTGCTATAAAGTGGAGACTATTGGCGATGCGTACATGGTGGTCTCTGGGATCCCAAAAATCTGCGGCTACGACCACTTGAGTGAGATCTGTACGATGGCGCTGCATATGTTAAGGGTAGGGCATCTTAGGACCAGTCATAACCCTTGAGCAATTCTAGGAAGTCTCAAATATGGTGATACCTCATCGCCCCAGCCAGCAACTGAAGCTGAGGATAGGCGTAAATACAGGTAATTTTGATAGTTACCTGTTACTAGAGTTTTGATTTGAGGTACCTGCGCAGCCGGAATTGTCGGTTTAAAAATGCCTAGGTATTGTCTTTTTGGGGATACGGTAAATACAGCTTCGAGAATGGAATCCACAGGCATAGGTCAGTTTCAATTTATTTCCGGGAAGGCGCTCAAAGAATACAAATGTTATATTTATTTAGAAATGCGGATCCAATTAAGCGAAAATACCACCGACCACCTAAAACGTCATTTCAAAGGCCAATTCGAGTTTGTGGAACGTGGCATGATGGAAATTAAGGTAACGGTATTGAATTACCCTTTTATTACAACATTTTTCAGGGCAAAGGTTTAATGTGCACCTATTGGCTCCTCGGCAAGCAGGGATTCAATTTTCGAGTTGATGCTTAGTGTTAATTTTGCGTGAATTTGCGATCATCATCACGGGTATTTGGAGTTTTTCCTTGCTCAGCCTTCTCAATAAATACTTCTGCTATTGGCTCTTTAACTACCGTATCCGCAAAGCTCTTTCCAAGACCCAGAAGATCAACCCAGAACGCCAAAAATTGTACCTCGCACGGGTTTAAATGTTACCGTACCACAGAAGCTTGTTCCTGGCCCCTAGACGATTTGTGCAATAAGTGGGGTCCCAAAGGTTGTACCCTCACCAATATTGCTATACTCCAATAACAAATTGACGAATTAATAACAATCTTATGAATCAACCCGACTTTTACTGCCGGCACAAAAGGCCTGAAAGAACACCCCCCGAAATGTCGGGCTTCCAGATTAATAAGTGTAGGATACACTACTTATTGGACGTCGTGCGGGCGGATCCCAATTTGCCGTCCAATAGGATTAGACTTAAATTTCTACGATACCGTAGCTTCCCGTCTAGGAATCCCTGTGATCTTATTTTGTATTTTTTTTAAATGTACGACCACGAAGAAAATGCTGAAAAGCCGTCATGGACTCGGAAGGTCATGGAAATCTTCAGCACCCAGTAAAAAAACATAACATTTGCAGTGAAAAATAATTTAGAGCTGCAAAAGCCACCAGTTTGGTTGTGCCAGTTCCCACTCGACCGAAAAGTGCAATATCAAGAGCTACAACGATGGTGTCGAGTAATGGCTCAATTATGACGATCAGCGTGAAAACAAAAACTAGGGTATAGCCAGCTCAAGCAGCTATCTAATCTTTCTTTAGATCTGGGAGGCATTAAAAATGGCAATTGTTGCTGTCCCGCCTCTAGCTGCTGTGATAATTTTGTCGGTTATGATGATGAATCAAGTAAGTTAGATTAGTAAAGTTAAAAATTGTGATTTGAAACTCTAGGCCAGCGTCTCTCTGAACCAAACGTCCAATATCAATTCCTATATGGGATTGGCGGCTATGTTAAACCAACTCGTGGCTGTCTTGCAAAAAGAGAGAAGCATTTTTGGAGACTACGTAACACGATATGACGATCTGGAGAGTGATGAGTGGGTTTGGAAAGACTTAAGGTTAATTAAGAGCTTATAGCCCGGATCGAGTGGCCATGTATCAACAAGTGCTCTTATGTCAAAACCAAACGGATACGATTATTGGCGAGATGACGGGTGGTTGGGTTGTAAGTCACGTCAACTAAGCGCAGGGTTAAGCCCAAGCTAAGCCTAAGCTTGAGCCTAAGCCGAAGTCTGAACGTCATCTCATCTAGGGAATAATCTCCGTCGACAACGAACGCATCTACAATGCCACCGAATTTCAAAAGCGGCTATCAGCTATGAGACTTCGTATTGACAACTCAACAACTATCGACGAAGTCTTAACGTAAGACACTTCAAAATTGAAAATTTATAACGATGGTTAAGTTACTACAACCCCTACATAGAAATCTTGATGTACAACGCTGGAAGAACATTTTATGACACGGACGAGGGCCGATTTTGGGGCGCCTTTAATGCGCTCCGGATGGTGCAGAATGCGCGGGAGTTGTTTGGTAAGACATTCCACTTTTTTTCGTAAAAAACGCAAACCTTTATTTCAGCTTTAAAGCGAGCGCTTGGCGGGTATTTCTACGATCAAGGATGGTTAGGGATTGATACATATCGAAGTTTCTTGGGTATGAAAGTCGATTCTATTTTGGTCATAATTCAAGCCTTGTAGAGACTAGTGGAGCAGCTGATAAATTTTTGAGAAATGCAAAAATGATCCATGCGGAGGTAGGAAATTAATGGAAGTTTGACAATTAGATGCCTAGATCGGGAGCTTTATCGAGGCGCGTGAGATACGAGCCGAATCCGTTATATCGATAGTTGCGGATATGACGGACAAGATCGTTAGGTATCGTAAAAATAGCGTTGTAGCGTAGTTTAAAGTATTGCAACGTAATGAAGGTCGTGAAACGAAACCCCGTTTCTAGTAACTATTCTGCAACTCCAATCGCGGCCAGAGATACTGAAGTCCTATGGTGGTTTGATAACATGACCATCTACTTCGATTTAGTGATTACCCCGGTAGTCAATCACTTTTATCAATAACTATGTTATCTATTTAGACCGTCGACTACATCAACAAAAAACTAATTGCCAGTATCGACTCCGATTTTGAAACTTCCTATACCCTACTCTACACCTCAATTGCAGTAGTGTCAGTCAGCTTCATCGTCTGTGCACCCGTCATTGCATACCTCAGCTATCAGACAAATCAGATGAACAAGAGCATACGGTAATAACAAGTGGCTTCGAAAAAACGACGAGAATTCAGCACGAAAATGGTTGAGCTTCAATTCGAAAAGGGCCGAAGTGAGCAGCTTTTGTACTCTATGCTACCGAAATCGATTGCGATGAGTTTGAAGAGAGGGGAAATGGTGAGGATCTTATTCTTTGTATCGTCTTATTGGCGATTATACTGTGGCTGGCTTCCCTCAAAACACAAAGATTACAAACTTTCTAGGTACTCCCAAAAACGTACAACGAAGCGACCGTCTACTTCTCTGATATCAAAGGTTTTACGACAATTTGTAGTGATTCGAGTCCCCTGGAGGTACTGGATAATTAGCTCCCTTCCGACGAGTATTTTCTGAGGTTGTGGAATTGCTCAATCAACTCTACACAGTGATGGATGGGGTGCTGGATGGCTATAATTGTTATAAGGTGGAGACCATTGGTATGCTACGCTTGGACAGCCGCCAGAAATGGTCTTTAGGTGATGCTTACATGGTGGTATCGGGGATCCCGAAGCCAAACGGTCACGACCATTCGAGTGAAATTTGCACAATGGCATTGCATATGCTAAAGGTGTGATAGAGAGAGAGAGAGAGAGAGAGAGAGAGAGAGAGAGATAGAGAGATAGAGTCAATTATGAAAACAAATGAGTAAAGCTGCCTTACTGGTTAGGAAGTCGGGAAGATGGTGGTTCCGCATCGCCCGACAGAGAAACTTCGAATGCGAATCGGGATTAATACAGGTAATTTTCAAAGTGTTCTACTTATCCGCGTTTTAGGGGTTTGCGCAGCCGGGATTGTCGGTCTCAAAATGCCTAGATATTGCTTGTTTGGGGATACGGTAAATACGGCATCCAGGATGGAATCTAGTGGAATTGGTGAGAAATTTTGGAGAAGAGATTTTGATTGACGTATTAATAATGTTAGGTCATGTTTCAGAAATGTACAGGGCCCTTTTTTTCTATGCTACGAAGCGCTCCTATAGTTGCTAAAAGAATACCGGTATATTTAGCGATGCGAATTCAACTCAGCGACCATACCGTCAAACATCTGAAGCGCTACTTCAAAAAGGATTTTCAATGGAAAGAGCGAGGAATGATGGAAATTAAGGTATCAATATAATTCATCGTAATATTTGTCTTCTGGTTAGGGCAAAGGCCAAATGATGACCTACTGGCTGACACAGAAATATGGGTTCAACTATGAGGTCTACATCCCAGACGAGGAAAGCCCAGCTGGCCAGGTTTTTCCATAGTATATTCTAATTGAAAATAAGTTGGCATTACCACTTCACCGCATTTACAAACGAATTAATAAATATTTTAACCTTACCTTGAAGTCGCTCAAGTTCGCTCTGCACAGCTCTGGCTGCGAGTTCAAGCCGAGCTGTACGTTGTAGCGACACGGAATTTTGTGGACGTACTCTGGGAAGTCGACAAAGATCGCGTTCAAAATATCCTGACGCTAGCTGTTTCAAGGGATGAAAATTGGTACCTGATCTGCCAGCATGGTTTTGCCAAAATTCCGCAAATTCGTCTCGGCCACGCTACGCCAGATGCGATTCCAATCGACGCGACGCATCTGAGCGAGATTTACAAGGGCCACGCCGGTGTTGAAGCCGGAGCCCTAAAACACATTAGAACAATTATGAAATGGCCACATTTTAAGGAATGCACATCAGGAACCTACAAGCGCTGGCCAAACGTGGTGCACCGGATCTTCAGTGGTATACCAGCGCGACAGATTCTCGGCTAGGCCATAGATCCTGCCATTTTTAAGGTTGTCAAAGTCCTCAATTAAATCATCGATTGAACCAACGATTAGTAGATCAGTGTCGAGGAGCAGAATCTGCTGACTTAGTGATAAAACGACGCTGAGGAGGAAATTCATCAAAATGCACTTATAACCCGAATCGTTTTTTAATTTTTTTTAAATAAATGAATAAATTTCGAAAATCTCTGCTACCTAGATGATTGAATTAAACATTTTCTAACGCCTGTTTCTCCTAAATAGGCATGCTGACATTTGTAAAACGTGGATAGCAGTATTAAAATAAAACTGGTCCTCACCCGCTCCAAAGTCCTCGGCAAAATATGGGCCAACAATAGCTTGATCAAACCAAAATGTCTTGAGTAGTGATTATTCGGAATCCATTGCACATGTTCGATGAACCTCTCAGACTTGTAGAAAGCATACTTTACTAAAACAGTCCGTTGCCTTCATTTTCGCTGAAATCCATACCATCAGCCAGCTCCCAAGTCTCAAACAGATTTGGTAACACATCCATAGATCGGTGATCCGTAATAAAGTGAAAGAAAATAGGTTTGTTATAATAATTTAATAAGCTTTTGATGAGGACAATAGCTCGATTTGCTGTTTCATATCCTGCCACTACCATCGCAATGTTTAGGGCCTAAAAATCAAATGCATAACAAAAGTCTTCTTACCTGGCATTGGTCTACCTCTTCTTCCAGTTGAGCTGGCCTAATTTGGATTCCCAGAAAATAGGAAACTAAACGTTAATAGAATCTACAGGGTGTCCCAAAAAAAACGACCCATCTGGGATTTCGCCGGGTTACATCCAATCGGTCCCAAATTTGGACCAGCGGTGTATCAGCCCCTAAATAACAACAATCCTGACTTTTAGCCCCGTAGCTACAGTCGTTCTCGAGTTATAACAAAAATACTGTTTTTCCCGGAATTCTGAACAGTTTTTCTTTTTGGACTTTGCATCAATTTGCATCGACTTCCGGCTGCGAATCCCTAATTTCGCTTAAGAACTTGGGTAATTTTGCGTTGTAAAAATCGCTTAAATCGAAGCTTATTTAATTAATTTTACTCTGAAAAAATTTCTTCAGGTAAAGAACGCCTTCCGGATCATTTTCACTTAATGTCTAGGGGGCCTAATTCCACGAAAACCCTATGAACAATAGAAAATCAAGTTTGTTTTTGCTATAACTCGAGAACGACTGTAGCTACAGGGCTATAAGTCAGGATTGTTGTTATTTAGGGTCCGATACACCTCTGTTCCAAATTTGGGACCGATTGGATGCAACACGGCGAAATGACAGATGGGTCGTTTTTTTGGGACACCCTGTACATTAAAATGATTTAATACCTTCGTATGTTGACATTAAATTTAATAAAAACAATATGATACTGCAGCTAAATACAGCGTAGATGGTGAACAGAATTTTCCGCTTTTTCTTCATGGCTGAAAAAATATAAAATGAATTCCTAGAGTTGTGAAAATAGCCAAAAAGCGTGTCAAATACAGGAAAGAAGAACAATAAGCGGTATCGCTAAAGAAACTATCCATATGGGCCTCAATAAGGGGTGTCACTCACCGATTCTTTCGGGTCAGCGATCTGGGCAACGGCACTTGAGGCACCAAAAAGAGGCCGCTGTCAGAATTTAGGCAATAGCGGATTAAGGGGAAGAATGGATACGGTTTAGAACAATCAAACGTAGCTTTCTCTCTTTCTCTCTCCCTCTCTCACTTTCGCCCTCTCTCGGTCGTTCTGTTTTATAAAAAAAGATCCAATTAGAAGTGTTAAAAACGCAGACACGCAATGGCTTGACCCAGCAGCCGGCTGGTTTTATTGGCCATGCATTTTGAAGGAGACCCGGAGCCGCTTCGCTTGTTGCATTTTAGGTTTCTAGAAAACAAAAACCCTTCTTTCAAAAAGAAATAAATAAGCAAAAAGTGAAACGAATCGATTATGGGCACCTACAGGTTGGTTGACCCAAGTTGGCCCAACGGTCAGCCTCGGTACTCAAATAGTGACGATCCAGTGTGTAAATATTGGGATGCATACAGGAAACGTTGAGTCGAGGTTAAGGTGGGCTTAATATATAGGCTTGGGCTTCCGGATCATGCTATTATTTGAGTACTGTATTAACGAGTGACCGAGCTAAAGAGAGAGGGAGAGAGAAAGTGAGAGAGAGCTAGCTAGAGACGGCGAACGAAAGATAGAAAGCGAAGGAGAGCGAAGAGTGTGAGAAGGCGCGAAAGAGAGTGACAGCGAGAGATTTAGCGAGAGCGAGAGAGACAGAGACAGAAAGACCGAGACATAGAGAGAGATATCGAGAGAGAGGGAGGGAGAGAGAGAGAGAGAGCGATCGAGAGAGAGAGAGCGAGAGCGACAAAGTGGGTGAAAGCTAGGATCTAAATGAAATCTGGAAGTCCCTGGAATGGGCCAAAGAACGCCATCTCGAATCCTATAGAGGGGTCCGGGCCCACACGCAATCCGCCCTAAAAGCCAACAATGGCCGATTCTCAGGCATTTTACGGGTGCTGCCAAAAGTGAGGAAAAGCTCAAGTGTGGGTAGTTATGGGGTAGGCGAATGGAGGTAGAAAACAAAGGCTTTCAAGATGTCAAAAACAAAAAGTTTTCCAGTTTTCGCGCAACTCAGTAGCGTAAAGTCTTTGCTGCAAGCATCAATAGCAAGAAAAACCTAGGGCTTCTTAGCGTATATGCGGTGTCTCTTTCTACCCGTCGACTCGGGTTGAGTGACAGCCGGGAGTCGGTGATGCATCCCCTAATTCCATTCTATTCATCCATACTCACACCCCTTCGCCATGCGCGGCCATGATTTGCATACGGGACTAGCGGTCAAAGTCGGCTTCCCGCCCATGTGTTGATGGATTTTGACGCTAGATGATAGATCGAGGTATGGAATCTTTCAGGCGGTCTGGTGGAGGGAGTAATCAAATAGATAATAGGTTAGGATTAGTTATAATTATGTTAGTTATATTCAATTTAATCTTAGACTTAGGCTGTGGCATCGGCTTAGCCTTACAAGGAGATGGTCTCAGCTGGGAATCGAATTCGGATTTGAAAATTTGCACACTTATAGAGCTCGACGAGACAAATCGATTGGTGTAACTTTCAGCTGCTGATACGATAACCACGCCGAGTTATAAGCATTTTAAGTTTTTGCATACATTTTGCAATATTTCGGCCATAGCTTCATAAGCCTTCCCCGCCTCCCCATCACCATGGTCTGGTGGCCTAGTGGTGTAGAAGGCGTCCTCCGGGGAATCTAACGAGGGTTCGAACCCACTCACGATTTTTATTTTTTGCTTTTCGTCCGAAGGTTCCTCTTTGCTTTCTGAGGACCTTGCATAGCTTTTTACGCATTATTTGAACTCCTCTGGTGCGAAATTGCTAAAAAACATCTCTTCGAAAAAATTTAGATGTTTTACCCGAAAGGACTATGCCGGTCCCAATATAAATTGTAAATTCAAAGCATATCAAAAATCGTGGAGTAAACGTAAATTTGGTAAATAGTGTGTTATCCGAACAAAAACTTTCATCCGCGAAAATTTTTTGGAAATGGTAGTCATAGGTCGGACAAGGGCTCGATGCCCAGCAAGAAAAATTTAGTTTAAGAAAAAGAAAAAAAAGTTTAAGAAAAGAAAAGTTCGATGTTGTCGGCGCATCAAAGGAGTTAAAATAATGCGTAAAAAGCTATTCAAGGTCCTCAGAAAGCAAAGAGGAACCTTCGGACGCAAAAGCAAAAAAAATAAAAATCGTGAGCGGGTTCGAACCCTCGTTAGATTCCCCGGAGGACGCCTTCTACACCACTAGGCCACCAGACCATGGTGATGGGGAGGCGGGGAAGGCTTATGAAGCTATGGCCGAAATATTGCAAAATGTATGCAAAAACTTAAAATGCTTATAACTCGGCGTGGTTATCGTATCAGCAGCTGAAAGTTACACCAATCGATTTGTCTCGACGAGCTCTATAAGTGTGCAAATTTTCAAATCCGAATTCGATTCCCAGCTGAGACCATCTCCTTGTTAGCCTTCTCTGCGTTTAAAGTACATAAATATTAGTAAGAAGGAGCATTTTGCCCCGTTATAAAAATACTTGCTCTGGACTCGGTGTGGATCGAAAGATGAATATCTCGAGGTACGGATGTTTGCCAACCATCTGCCCTCCGAGCATGCGCTAAACACGGTCAAATGAAAGACGATCCCGACGAGATGGGTGTCATGAGAGATCCATTAGGAAATTGTTAAGGGCTGGTTGGCCACAATAGAGGTGCCTAACCAATGAGAATGTGAAATCTAACATTTTTGGCTATACTGTCGGTTTTCCAAGGAACTCCCCATTCTCGTCACTGGATTTTGATCGAATTTCCGACGTGAATTGGGTGCATCCAGGAAGGGGGAGGGTCTGGTAAAAACCAAATTTTGAGATTCTGGAATTGACGAAGATGCAGTATAATTGTTGAATTTTGTAAAGTTATAGAACTTCTTGGATGTTTTCGGAACATTTTTTTGGATCGGAACCGGTATTAGTCAAAATAAAATAACTAGTTAAACGATTTCAGGCTTAGAATTTATCTAAATTACGGTTTTAATGACGTAATGCGTAACTTAAAAGGTCTAAAATCATTTTGGAAATTTACAGATCATACATTCGAACCCGGTGTGAAGAAATGTGTCCATCTGACGCTTTCCGGCCCAAGGGCCACTTCAAATTAGCGTGCCACATGTTGCGCACTTTCCGCCAGCCTCCAATATATTTGCAAAATTTATACCAGACCCGAAAAGCATCACAAAACAAAGATGACACATAAAACTTATTATTTGCTAAACCTGTGCGCGTGGTTCCGTGTCTTCTACGTATTTCGACAATGCGCTACTTGATGCAAAGACGACGGAGGCAATTCTTATTTGACCCGAGAGGATGGGTAGCCAAAATTTGCTAGTCTTTTCCATTTTTATATTGTAATGCACGCGCCCTATATGACCGGTTTGACTGCCAACATTCTTGCAGACCGACAGCTCGATGGACGATGTGCCTGGCTGTTTTGCGGCGTCTTCAATTTTGGCCCCAAGTACATCATAGATCGAGTGGCTCGGGATCTCTAGTTGGAAGCCGTCGCCTAGAATCAAAATATCGAACGTTTGGACGCTAAAGAAAAAAACCCGACCATATAGGGTCCCCATATTTTCGGAAATCCATCCCGAAATTTCTTTCGATGAAGTGGCCGCTTGTCGGAAATTGATTTCGGAGACATAGAGTGGAGCAATTGCGTCAACTTCTGTGACATTGATGTCGAATTTCTGGGTGAAATCGGTGCGAAATCTTGGCTGAAAGCAAAACTTAAGATAGATTACACCATACATGGGAATTTTGAATCAAAAATTAGTTTTTCCAATGTTTTCTCATCTGAAAAATTTCACATTATCGAAAAACTCATTTCCTCACCTTCTTACTCGTATCCCATCTATGCTCCTCTTGCAATTCCATGGCTATCATTGCCAGTTGTCGTTTCTGGGCCCTCGTAAGCTCAGGGACTAGCGCCAACTCCAAAAAATCACCGACATATGTGGTCCGGGTCGTCGAGGCCACCAGGTTTTGTTTGACGTCAAACTTGGCATTTTCATTAATTATTGAAAGTCGTAAAAACTAACCAGTCGTCCCGGCATGGGCCCAGAGTCCATGGCAAGATTATGAAAGCGGTCAGCATTAAAGTAGGCAAGGGCCGCAAGTGGGATCAGCAAAAATTTTAGCGGGGTTGGAATAGCGCGTAAGACGGGCCGATATATGATTCTAAACATCCATGGCTTCCACATTTTTGTGCAACTTGCGGATTAATGACTGAGGCCTACTTTAGTAGCACTGACAGGGCGTTACTGGTCCGGTTACGCCACGTATTTTGTACCATCACGTTGCCTGTGATAACACTTGCACTAGACATAGTGAGAGATTGCTATACAAGATTTTTGTAAATCATAAAAGAAGTTATCGAAGTAAGCGAATATAAGCGAGGTAGAATTGAAGAAAACAAAAAAAAGCTTATAATTGGGAAATCAAGTTGTGAAAGAAGACGCGCAAACATTTTTTGCAGAGTAATGCGGTATTTCTATGTATTTATTCTATGTTAGACGGCATTGACATCAGAAAAAGCAGTCTTCCGGATAGCACAAGTCTTGCACTTTTTGCACTCGGATAAAACTGTAAGCAATAAAATGAGCCACAGATGGGTTTTTTAGGCTGTGGTCCGCCTGTGTGAGCCCTGATTTCCGCCCAAGAATGTGCTCCTCATAAAACCTCAGGGAACGTGTAAATTTCGACCCTTCTCGACCATTAATTTCCATAAAAAATGTATATTTGCATGCGAAAAATTGTGGGTTTTTGCGATAAACGCATTTGTTTTTAATTTATTAAACCGGAAACTCTGTTCTACCAAAAGCCCAGTTGTCCGGAATTCGACGGCGGAAATGCAATTCGACTGAAATTCGAGTATCAGAAAACTCATCAGATGGTTGACAATAGGCTTTTCATGACGTCTGTGTGAGCAGGTTAATCGAAAACGTGGAACGCTATGATGCAGCGAAGGGGGAAAATGGATCGTGTTCACATGCAGCGCTTTGCCAAATTTTTTTTCTATCGGTTGAAGACTAAAGGGAATCCATTCTGTCTTTTTCCAAGTAAGCCTTCGCAGCACCAAATTTTCATTTTTCCGGAGCTTAGGTACACTATTGGATCGTTATTGTTTTTGGCGTGGATCATCCTAGGGACGCTAGAACACTAGGGGGGAGAACGGCACATGGGTTTTCAGCTAGCTGGGTGCCCCACCCGTCTAAACAATCTTTTTATTATCCTCTTTCCACGGCTTGCAAAAGCCCTGAGGAAGCTAAGGGCTTACCCGCTCGACCACATGCCTCCACATGTGTCATTGGGCATAGAAAAAGTTTGATTTCCTGTTTGATCGTTGCAACTACTACAGAGAAAGCTGTTTGATCTTATTTAAGAGAATTTCGGACTTTTTTTGATGACGGGTTTTGCAATTCTTTTTGCTTCCTGGATCTCTAAAATTCAGGTGAAGTTTCCAGGGTCTATTTTTTACCCTGAATATCCGCTTTCTACCTACTAGCAACCCAGAAAACGTTCCAAACCTTATCCATCTCCACAGCTACCTCGTTAAATTTTAACGCAAACGAGCAGCCATCCTTCAAACTAGGAAATGGGCAATATTTCAGCGGCTTTCTCGGTTTCAGCGGGTAAAGTTTGCCCTCTCTTTCTCTCCCATATCTCCCTCTCTCTCTCACTCTCTCACTCTCTCTCTTCCTCTCTCTTTCTAAAGATAGCGCCCCCGCCGTCCCAAATGTAGACCCGGATCTGGGCCCAAATTATGGGGGAACGTTGACCTATTCGGGGGCGAAGCAGACTTTTCGGCTTCGGCACATCCGGGTAGATAATTGCGTTATATCGGGGCAGCTTCAGATGATTAAGCCACCCACGCCTTCCTAAGACGGACTATAAACCTTCATATACTGGGTGTTGCTAGCATTAATGCTTGATGAAGGCAGTTCCAGGGACCGGAAATGTGCGCTAGTCGAGCCAATAAACCTCGAACCTGTCTCTCATAAAAGCTCGAGAGCTCGTTATTTTGGTTGTTGGTTTTTGCAATACCCGTTCGAGAGCAGGCTGTTTGAATTGTTTTTTTTTTGTTCTGAAAAACCTATAACTTTTACATAAACCCTCGACTTCTGCTAACTTAAAAACCTATTCCAGTTTCCTTCATTTCCAACGAAGTTCCTTCATTCATTTCCAAACCATTTCGAACACTGTCCACTTTTCTACCTGCCCAGATCATCCATTGGCCTGTGACCTCCTCCAAAAAATATTGGGACAGTCCTGCCTGGGAGGATGGGGTCGAGTGGGGCCCTCGGCTTCTTCTCCTTCTTCTCACTCCTCACTCACTCAAAACAATATCCCGCATAAGAAAGGGGGAATCCCGGAAAAAAACTGAAATAACACGCGCCACGTGCCAACTCCCCCACGAGTATTGCTCGTGGATTTTAGGAGATCGTTTTCTGTGAGGCATCCGGAATATTCCGGCAATTTAGACAGATACTTTGAATTAACTTGTGAAATCACCGGTTCCTTGATTTGTATATGAGAGAAAATTGTTATTTACGTACGGACCTGTCTTTTGAGTAGTCAGTACTCCCAGAGACTTCTTTTCGAGTTTATTTTGGCAACTATACGACCAATATCCGCGCTTAAAGGTTGTCCGCGCCAAAATTGGACCCTCCCGGGCGTTCCGATGATATTCGTAGTTATGGATGTTTACCCAAAAGTGCTCGATTTCGAGGAGGAAAACTTGGCGGTTCCGATGAACCTCAAATATATTGCGGCACGCATTTGTGATTTATCGAATCCTTTTTTGCGTTTAAAACATTACGCTGCGGAGATTGCTCTTAAATGCCTGAACACAGCTCTATACTGCGTTCCATTTTTCTCTCAACAAGACGATTATCCTCCTTTTTCTGCGGTTTTTTGAGTACTGTGTCATCTAAAAACCCCTGGGTACTGTAACGTATCCGGACAACTTTCAATACCTATAGCCCCATCCCTCAACGATGTTTTTGTTTTGAACACACGCATATCCCATCGCACATCCAGCTCGAATTTGATTCCCTATTTACTACCCCGGAGCGCTAGGCCCACTTCTCTGCGAAGCGGCTCTCAGACGGCTTATCCCCGAGAATAGCCATAAAAATCAAGACTGGGAAGAGAATGGGTGGGGGCGCAAAATAAGCAGAAGCCCGCGCGAATAAGCGAGGGTGGCGAGGGTGGAACTGAAGGGATGTGGAGATACGAATCCCGTGAAATTTGGGCAGGCATCGAAGCGAGAAGCCCGAGAAATGCGATACTTCCACAAAAAATTTCTTTTGGCGCTGAGGCATCGTTTAGCCCGGAAGTTTATCGTGAAATGATTTTATTAGTGTGAAAAGGCCAAATTACGGCCTCTTGGGATCGTATCTTGCATGATATCTGCTTTCTAAAAATCACCGACCCTTTAAGAGAATTATATATGGAACCTGATTTAATACGTTAGCGCTTCAGTTTTGACTTTATTTTGTTTTGAACAAAGGTGGCACCTCGTGAAAATCCCCTTTTTCTGATTGACGGTTAATAAAAACTCTAGGATATTTTAGCATTTTTTCCCCCTAACTATTTTTTCCTACTCACTTTTTTTCATCCGACTCAACACCTATTTGCATCACCATCCAATCTATTTCCGGGCAGGGGGACTCCCCCAAATTCACACTCGACTTTGATTGGCCGGGTGGGCCCTAAGTGGGCCACAACCCCGGACCCCGAGGAGATAAGGCTCAGCTGAGCCAAGTACCCTAAAAAATCGGGAAGGGGAGGTAATTCCGGAAATTCCCACACACGCGACTCGGCTAGCGTACTACGGTGTACGGCTGGGGGGGGGGGGTCTGAAGATCGAAACGTTGAAACTATACTCAATCTCAGTTTTTCTAGATCGATTTATTAATGCGTGTTTGAGATTCATTTTGGGCTTGGGCTTAGGCATAGGCTTAGCGTAGGCTTAGCTGAGGTTTAGGCGTCGGCTTCCGGCTAGCCTTGGCCTAGTTTTGGCCTGGGGTTGGCTTAGGCTTGGCTCAGACTTTGTTTAGGCTTCGTTTAGGCTCGACTTAAACCTGGCTTCGGCTTAGGCTTTGGTTTAAGCTTTGGCTTAGGGTTAGACTTAGGCTTTGCTAAACCAAACAACCATTATCTCCAGGCTTTTGCTTTGAATTGCGGTAGTGCCAAAGTTCACCCGAGGGCGCGGGCCACCCCCACCAACGACTTCTTGGGAGCGCCCTTTATTGAATGGGGTGCCCACGTTTTATTGTGTTTTCGTAGACTCCGGGGGCTTTGCTTGCTTTTTGGTGCCCGACATCTCTAAATTGTGGGTGGGCCCGGAATAGCAACATCTGGACGGCCGCTGGGTACGTGACGGATGTGAGAACGTCTAAAACTTCGCTTATTACGTTTTGAGGGTTTTTGTGGGCTGTCTGATAGACTTGAAGTATCCTAAACCTGGGGACAACTTCTAACCCTTTAGCCATATTCCATGTTTCGTTTGGAAACAGCCCCATTAGAACATGTGATTTCTATTCAGGAGCTTGACCGGCCTGGCCGTAAGGATCCCATTACGCGTTGCTTTTTCGTGGACGGAAACGTCAGTGTCACCTGAAAATAGCAAAAGCCCGGGTTGCGGATGGGCGTCATTCCCTTCGTGTCGCATTTTCACTCTGATTTTTCGCTTGCTTTGGACCATTTTTGGGCTTTCTCTTGACTCTCTCTGACTATCTCTCTCCATTTTTCATACCGATGCCTTTTATCAGTTTTCGAGCTTGCAGTGTACTTAAGTAAACGTAACAAGCGCTGTCATCTCAATTCCTAAAACCCCACATTTCAAAACCCTAATTCTTCTAAAGGGCAAGGAAGTGGAACAAAACCACCGGGAAGAACCCCTGTTCAGGGTGATTCAGAAAGCGAGTGAGGGTGGGGGCTTTGGGCGGCGAGGGTGGGGCTTTCCCGAATGCTAAAAAGTGCCATTCAACCCTTCCCCATCCCCTTGTCGCACGTGTAACGGTTGTGCTTGGGGGTCGTTTTCGCCGGGCTAGAAAAATATCCTTAGGCACCGGCTCGGGTTCCAAGGTCGGGGCGTGTTCTGTTTTGTTTGGGGGTTCTAAATTTTGCTTAGATTTTAGTGAGGCTTTCGTTGCTTATGTTGGTATTTTTAGTTCTTAAGGTAAGCCAGGTATTTAGCTTTTTTGTCGCGTAGGCGAAGTGTTCCCCCTACGTAGCACGTGCTTCTCGGGTGAAGCTTTTTTGGGTTGACTCATTTCACGCAGCGCATCGAGCCCGTACATCACTCCACAAATACAAAGGGGTGCGGGCGGCATACAGCTGATCCGGGATGCTTTCGTGGCGTAACATCATCAAGTGCTCGTCTTTAAGGTTATCTTTTATTGTTCCTTTGTCTTTCTACCATTTTTGTGTTCATTTTCGTTGAAAAAACTGTATTAAATATATGCTAGGCTTAAGCATTAGCTGAAAACACTCCTAAATTGATGTCGAAGCCCAGGAACTTAAGTTAAACTCTCGCCTCAACCTAGTAAGGTAAAAATTTAGCTAATTAATGTTATTTTCTTATTTTTAGTTTAACTTTTATTATTTACGAGGCACACGGTATTAAGCTTAAGCCGAAAGCTAAATTTTGTCTAACAAGCCTTGTAAGCATAGGCACTTGTCATAATATATACCGTAACCTATTGAAGCCCCCCATTTCGGCTTCCCCATTTCTGACAACTCCATCATCGTTCCATTTTTTTGCCGACCACCCGCAAGATGGAGCAGGGGATTAAGGCAACTTTTTTTCGAAAATGAACTGAAACACGTGGCAAAACGACCCCCTGTGTGTTCTAATTCTATTTTTAGCTCAGCCTGAATTCCCATCCCAATTAATTGATTTTCACGTCATATCCCGCTGGCACTCTCGCGTCGACGTGATTGTTTCGTTGCCATCCGCGCATCCACTCCACCGTATGCAAATAGAGCCCCCCCTCGTGGGACAAAGCCGGCCGCCTGTTTGTTGCCGTATAGCTTGGCTTTTTGAGGGGGTTCTAAATTATGTTTTTTTTTGGTTTGTTTGTCATTTTGGCTTGAGTTTTTATGGTTAGGCTTGGCTAGGCTTGGTTAGGCTACGACTTCGCTTCTGCTTAGGCTTTGGCTTCGGGTTCGGTTTGGGCATAGGCTTGGGCTTAGGCTTGTGCATAGGAGTAGGCTTAGGCTTAGGCTTCGACCAAGGCCTCCTTTTGTTTTGGCTTAGGCTTCGGCTTAGGCTTCAGCTTCAACTTAGGCTCAGGCTTGGGTTTTGGTTTACTTGTTAGGTTGTGCTTATACTGTAATTATACTTGTATGTATTTTTAAAGGGAGTGGGGGCCCCGGGATTGTAAATTTTGTCATCGTCTTCCAAAAATGATTATTATATTATTTTTAGGTGACTTCTTTGAAATTATTGCCTTTTGTTTCTATGTAAAAAACTGCCTGATCAAACCATAAATACGCAAACGCCAAATTCCAAAGTCCCGCAACCAGGGTGCGCCTCAAACCCGGTGCTAAAAAGTAGCCAGTGGTCGGTTGGCACAGGTGTCGATCCACGCCGCATTCCACCCCACAAACATCCCGAGTATTTTTCGGAACGGGAAAATATTTGGGATGTATTCCCCCCAAAACCTCGAATTCGGACATTTACCACGTGGCCCCAATACCGTAGGGCTAAAAAGATCTGGGTTCTCGGCGTGGCCGCGGGGCCCTCCGGAAGAGCAGCTACACAAATTAGAGGGGACCCTGTTGACTCAGATGAGCTAGAGGGAGACACCGGGGAGTCGCGATTTCCGCCCGTGGAATTATATTCGATGCCTTTTTATTTATCGACATTTTTTCGTGGTTTTTGATAAAAGCATTCGTCTCTCGGGGCTGGCGGTCACTTGGATGAACATTTTCAGGCCGGGCAATGTGTTTGAGCGGAGACTAGTCAACGTCATGTACAATTGCTATCACGAGCCAAAGGTGGGCGTCTTCGAGATCGGCAGCTAGCAGAGATCATTAAGGAATTTATACCTTTGCGAGGAACCCTCCTGAAATCTTCTATTTTTCTTTAATGCACATGAAACTCGCGAATTACTAGGGTTCTTGCCTGGGCGTTATTCAAATTATCATTAGTGCGTCGCGACATCAGTAGTGCGACCAGAGAAATATAAATATATTTTTCATAGTCTAAAATGAAATACTCTAAAATGACATCGCGATTCTCCGGATTTCATAATTCTACGTTACTTAATCTACCATTAGTGCGCCGGTGCAACTTTCATGCGTTTATAAAAATTCTCACCAAAAATAAGGTACACATAGGATAACGGGGGAATAAAATAACGGGGGGCACTCATTATTATGAAATTTGCAATTACTGAGGGATTTTGCGAGTGCCATTCGATAGAGCGTCGAAAAATATACTAAGAGAATTAATTTCAGCCCGAAATAATGTAATAGAAATTTTTTATTGAATAAACAAAAATTGAGGAAAATCTATGGGCAGCACATAGGATAACGGGGGAAAGTCAAATTTTCGAAATTTTCGAAATTTTCGGTATTTTGAAAACGTCATTCCATAAAGCGTCGAAAACTGCCCTAGGAAAATTAATTTCAGCCCGAAATAATGTAAATGAAATTTTTTATCGAATAAACAAAAATTGATCAAAATCCATGGGTAGCACATAGGATAACGGGGGGGGGAAAGCCAAATTTTTGAGATTTTCGATATTTTGAAAACGCGAATCGATAGAACATCAAAAAATATACTAAGAGATTTTTTTACAACGCGAAAAAATGTATTATAAAAGTTTTATAGCCTAAAAACTATTTTTGAAAACTATGGGCAGCACATAGGATAACAGGGGGGGAAAAATTTTTTTGGCGTTTTGAATATTTTCGAAATTTTGAAAATGCCATTCGATAGAGGACCGAAAAATATACTAAGAGTTTTTTTTACAGCCCGAAAAAAGCTTATTTAAAAATACTTTTATCATATAAAAAGTTTGAGTGCCCCCCCCGTTATTTCCCCCCCCCCCCGTTATCCTATGTGTACCAAAAATAATTTTTATACTTTAAGATCTAATAATTAAAATTGACATTTCCAGGTACACGACCATGAGCTGTACCACTCGCTCAACAGCGCCAACCTGTTCGGGTTGCTCCCACTCGGTTGTATAGGCATTATCTTTAATGCATGTGCATTGGTAAGCAAATACATCCAATACTAAATTAATTAATAGTGTCAATATAATTAATCGTATTGATTAAGATTAATTCAGATATGCCTCTATCGACCTCCAAAAATCACCTCCGGAGTTTTCGTCTTTCTAAAAGCTGTGTTGATCCTCGACCATTGTCAGTTGTTAGCTACAATTCTGTATGCACTACTTCCACAGGTAAATCCCGCCTTATAAAACGATTTTTTTGTCTAGTTTTGCGATTCGCAATATGCGCCTCATCATACCTTTTATGGGGTTTGTATGTTGGAACGTCGATTTTTGAGGGAGACGCTGCCAAAGTAAGTTAAATACTTTGGGATTACCATTTAAGTAAGTCTATTATAATTAAAATAAAAAACCAATTATATTTAGAATCGTGATGCTGATTAATACAGTGCATGTCTGGACGATAGCCGCCCTTTCGGCACATCGATATTGGAAGGTATATAAATTTTCATTCATAGCTTTAACTTTCGTTCTATGTAGATCTCTCGGCCCGTAAAATCACGCATGAACGACATCCCAAGAAGAGCAAAACTTATTCTGGCCGTGTTGTTTTTAGGTATTTCATTAATGCTTATATTTTATATATTTTTTAAAGCCGCTGTGGCGTTCCGATTGCCGGTTTTTCTTCTCGAGCTTCGCGTCAAGTTGTCCCCAATGTTGAGAATTACGACAGATCCGGATTGGACGGAGGTAAGTAACAAATTGCTTATGATGCAGCTTATTTCGACTCCAAGTCTGCAAACACTAACTTTCTATAAATTAGGTCATCGGCCCTTACCGTATGATCTACCATTCCTTGCTGGACCCATTTTTCTCTAATGTGGTAAGTCGCTCTGGAATATTCACCTTTCTACCGTACCCCTTTAGGTCCCCTTCATTTGGATGGCCCTGTTTTCATTAATGACGCTTCACGAAGTCTTGAAAAGTCGCGACTTCAGCTACAAGCTGATTGCAACGGAAATTGGTGGAAGAACGGCGTGCAATGCGTAAGATTTATATCCATTTCCTAATCCTGAAAAATTTTAGATGTCGAATCCAATTTCCGCTTCTACCAGCCCGCCGTAAATCTGACGTTTTCCGGCAGAAGCAAGAGCATCGAGCAACCATTTCAATCATTCTGATGATTCTCTTCTATCTGGCATTCCATTCTCTACAACTTTATACGATTTTCCGGAAATGGCATTTGATTCTGAATGATGAATGCCCGGCTAGGTATGTTATCGGTTTCTACGTGCTTTGGTATTACTAGTCAATACATTAATGATCGTTCGATGAAAAGCAGTCTAGGAAAAAACAAATGCATTTTAGAATCGACTACATTCTGACGCAAGTGGCCGTGTGGCTATCATTGGCTTCGGCTACTGTCAATGCTTTTGTTTTTATAGCTTTTACAAATAAGGTCAGCATTCAAATTTCCGATTAAATTTGTTACAGGTTTCAATTCATATCTAAGTAAAGCATTAAATTAAATTTGTAATCAAGTTAAATTTTTAGCTCCGAAAATACGTGCGCACACTGATCCGTAAAACTTCAAGAACCCTATCAAACTCCAGCGACCCTCCACTTTCCCCAAAAACCACTGCAACACTTGTCGTGCATCAGAATTCCGATAACATTTTCAATATATGATTTTTTTCATTTTTTCACCCAATCATCATTCCTAATTTATGCAAGCTTTACGTGCAAAAGAAGCTTTCCTTGAAAATTCCGCCCGTTGTGATCTTGTACATATGCGTGCCGCGTCTTTCTCTTTCTTGTCGCGTACATAGTTCAGTTGTGGAGTACAATGCTGAGTAGTTGTAATTTTATGATTTTGCTTCGATGCCATGGCTCCGGCATCGTGGCGGCTGTTGCAATAAATTTGTGTATTTTTAAGACACATTATGGCTACCGTACGAGACCTACAGTATGCCCGGATTCTCTACAATTTTTGAAAGTATCTGAAAGCACGTGGAGCTACACAAATGTACCGATACACCAAAGAACACCCCGTCATCAAATTTGACGTAACGATACGAAACAGTACGGGTCGCCACGGTATGATACTGTACTACTAAGGTACGCTCGTTACACGACAGCACGAATCACTACACTTACGTTACTCCGCGCCGGTTTGCGGTTTACCAGAGCTACAGTAGCCTACGCTACAATACAAATTTCCACAATTGCGGTACGCTACGCTACAAGGTCTTTGCGAACCTTACCCTGCGAACATTCCAAAACCGGCCCAAAGACCAGACCCGAAAAAACTCTCTGGCTACGCGCCACAACAAGGACACAGTGGGCCCAGCCACCCCTCCACAATAGCGTCCCATTTTCGGGGCCCAAGACGATCCCCTTGTGGCCTATTTCCCCCCAGAGGTGCTGTGGGTAAACTTTGTCCAAAATAAGCCCCGGTGACCCCCAAAATACGGAACCGCCTGCGCGCCCCGCTACCGGGGCGCACAGCTGATTTCCGGCGCTCTTCCTTTTCGGGGGTTGTTCGGTTGGGGAACTGGTTCTCGCGAGACGTTCCGCTACACGCCTTTGCACACCGGCAGCAGCTACTTGGCAGGGTGCCATTTTTGATCAGGCTCAAGTGATTTGGTGTCTGGGGTGTTTTTTGATTGTTGTCTAGGCAGAAAAGTGAGGATTTTTCCATAAATCCAGTTAAACTTTTTGGTTTAATTAACAGCATCTCCAGGCCATATTTTGGCTATGTCGGGTAATTCTACGTCTTCTTTGATCATAAAATGCTCAAGAACGGAACTGACCAGTTGATTCATCGGCGCCTCGCCGGAAGCCTTCAAAATTACGCGCCCACCGCCTCGATAAGGGCCCTCGACTCGGAAAAACGTGGAAACCACGTCTAAACGCCATTACTCTTCCAAAAATTATATCACTCTCTCTCTCTCTCTCGCTCTCACTCTCTCTCTCTCTTTTTCTCGCTATCTCTCTACTTCTCTCGTCTTTACCATTAACATACCCATCTAAATACGATAAACCCGACTCTTCACTTGGTCAATATTTACCTCCGAATCCAATACAATAATTTCCCTAGAGTAGTTTGAGCGGGTTCAGGCTATTGTGCCCCGCACTCTTCTTTTCGCCATCATTTTCAAATTTTCGTCCGGTTTATATTGTCGTTAAACGCGCTCTGGGAAGCTATAAATATATAAAGGAAGGGGTGGGAATCTCGTGCTTGTCGACGACGTGAATCACATTCTTTTTGGTGTCTAGGAACTCTAGGGTGGCCGCGTGGGGCGGGGGGGGAGGGAGGAGTGCAATCCCGGTGGACTCACGGACTTGTTAAATTTTTTGTTGAAAGCTAGTGTTTGTAGAACGGGAGGTTGATTTGTGAAAAAGTGTTATTTGACGTTGAGATTTTCAAATTATGATTTTTAGTTGTTAGAAATTGGGCCTGAAGTCAAACCTCCAGTTTAGAGTTACGCTCAAGTTTAGGTTCAGGCTTCAGCTTATGCCTGTGGTCATGCTCAGGCTTTGGCTCGAGTAAGTTTTTGAGCATCTTTTTTTCAGGCGTCTTCGGCTTCAGTCATTATAATTCTGATTTTTGAAGAAATCTTGCCAATTTTTCTTGGAGATCAACCGAATATGCCTACTCTGAAACGCTTAAAAGATTTAACAATGTCAATGATCGTGCCTCCTTATATACCTGATCCAAATGAACTCGAAAAAGCCGCTGTGCGCAATTATCCCACCACCAACCCCAATTTTGGTTCACCTCGACCTCCACGGCCATGACCCCAATTTCAGCCGGATCGCCGCCGCGGCACCTGCGTGGTGGTCAGGTTGGCCGAGCCTTGTTTGAGCCCTTTTTTGAGGTGTCAAAGGCTGGAAGTGCGCAGCGCGGAGGTGTGCGAGTAGATTCCGGTCCTTTTTGGGGTGGTGGTCGAGGGCTTTGACCCTCACGCGCATGTGTGTACCACTTACACCTCGTAACGGTCATCCACCGGGTGCTGACCGCCGCTGGGAAAAATTGCGTGTTCCAATTCGTTGTCGGTCAGCTGTTTCAGCTCTGTAATTTTCATTCCTGTAGCGCTTTCCATGAACCCTTTTATTAATCTTGTAACCTTTTTAGAAAGTTGTTTTAAGAAAGCCCTATTGCCGTTTTATAACTTTTTAGCCGCTAAATTCGTGAAATAGCGCCCATTTTCATCAGGATTTTTCTTTTTGCTCAAGATTTCCAGAAACCGTTGCCTTAGATTTCTATAAATTACCACCCCGAAAATGGCTCCCACCTGCCCCTCCATTCTTTCGTTTCCAAAATTTTCTCAGGGTACATTAACTCCAGCTGGCGCTGCCCCATTTTGGGTTGGCCTTCACCATCTGCCTTCGCAGATTTTGCACCAGAAATTTCGTTGCCGTTTCATTTTGAGCTTTGGCTTAGGCTTAGGATTGGCTCAGCCTTACGCTAGCCTTCGCTTCGGTTCGGGTTTCGGCTAGCGTTTGGCTGCTGAAATTATGATTTGTACGACGGCCCCAAATCGTAGCTTCATCCCGTATTTGTATCTCTCTAAAAATATTCCCCAATGGTCCGAGGAACCGGTCAGCTGACCCTAAAATGCCGTTGACCAATATTTACGTAGTGCTCGCGCCGGTCCGCACGCTGAAGCATTTGGAGGACATTTTATTGGTCAACAGTTTGGGCGCGAAAAACAGGGCTCTTGGTTTAGCGGGGTAGCCCGTCAAAAACCTTCAAAAGTACCCCTTTATGCCAAAGATGCTTTAACGTTCGTACTTTAATTTTACATAATTCATCGCATAATTGCTAGACATTGTAAAGTAAATACACCTGCAAATAGACGTCCCAACCCAGGTTCCTTCAAAAAACAAACAAAGGTTCCGTTCCGCTCCTCATGACGACCCATTGTACCCCCCTTCTTCCGACTTGTTCCTCCTTCCCGCCTGCGGGCACAACCGAATTATCGCCATTCCCAACCCATCCGCCGGTCCTTCCAAAAAAACTTGCTTTGACATGTGATTTGGGTGGTTGTGGAAAGGTGGCGGTAAGACGGACGAGTCGCCAGGTAGATTCGGTTTTCGGCCGTTTTTGTCATTTTTGTCACATGATCAGCTGATAGGGGTGAAAATAGACGGCTGGTGCTGATGGATACTTGTCGCACTTTTCTGTCTGAATGTCGTTACAATTCAGGTTGTCTGGATATTCGTCTGTCTGGGAGTTAAAAGTACTTGTTTCTCTCTCGCGCTCTCTCTCTCTCTCTCTCTCTCTTTTCTTTCAAATTTTAGCCGCTTCTCGGTCTGTCAGTCTTTTTGTCAAATCACCTGACTGTTATCCACGGTCTGCTGATGCGGATAATTGGATTAGGTTTTGCGCGACTTGATTTGGTCGTGTTGGGCGGAAACTGCTTCCTATTTGGTATTTCCACAGATTTATTTGGCTTAAGCTTTCCGCGGCCGGAATCTCCGCTTCCTGTATGTTTCTGGCTCTCTCTCTCTCTCTCTCGCTCTCTCTCTTTAATTTTCTCTCTTTCTAACTATCTCTCCTTCTATCTCTCACTCTTCCTCTAGCCGTCGCCCTCACTCTGCGATTTTTGTTCATAGCAAAGGTATGCGAAACACTTGTAAGCACGTCTATTGCATTGATTCAAGTCATGAAAACATACAACCGAGTTGCTAGGTTTTCTATGTTTTTGTGTATTGAGGATCGTATGTTGCAAAACTTAACCTGAAACCTATGATTCAACCCCTTTGAACTATGCGTCTAATTCCGTTACTTTACTTAAGAACATCCCCCTTTCCATTCCATTTCACAACCCTGGTCATTAACCACTTCCCCATATACGCAATATTTGCACCCCTTGTCGAAAACATGAATAACCAACCCGACGTATCGCCTGAAGGGGTTACTTTCAAACCCGTGTGGAATGGGCGACAAAGCAAATACCGGGAGGACAGAGGCGTTTTTCCGTGGATCACTCCAGAAAATCATCATTTGAGGGTGGGCCCTCAACGGATCCACCACCCACTCCCGTTTTCGGCATCCCCGCGGGCGTTCCTTTTTGATGTTTGTTTGTCGATCCGAGAATGTCCACGTGGCGACTGTTTCCTTATGGGGATCTGAGGGGGCTTTGGAGTGAGGGATCCGGGTATCGGATCTGGTTTTGTTGTGTTTTAATCTGGATATTTTTGGTAGTCATCTTCTCATAGAGTCAGGTTGATGCTCGGGCTTGGGCTCAGTCTCGGAATTAAGCTTAGGCTCTGAATTATGTTTAGGCTTGGGTTAGACTTAGGCCAGGCTTAGGTTGAAAAGCTTAAGCTCAGGGTTAGGTTTGTGTTTGGGTTAAAATTAGGCTTAGGCTTAGGTTAGGAAGGAGATTTCCTAGCAAAATTCGAAACAATTCCAATGGTATTTTGAAGCCCCATTAAATCCCGCTTGAATTTCGATTCACTATCTCAGCATACCCCTCCCTTTAGTTTATTCTGGCAACATCTCCGTTTCGTTTTTCCTCCAAATCGCCATCCCTCTCCCCCGCATTGCGGCCAACCCAATATTCCACCCACGCCTTTTAAAGTCTAGCGAATCGCATTTTACTAGTCCCCCAATCGAGATCACAAGGCCTGTATTTTCTTTCCTTTTTGGCCAGTGAACGGGGTTGTCTGACCCG